TTTATGTGTGCATATGTTTAGGTAACATTCCATCTTGTTGCAAGTATTTTATCTATTACTTTATGTCCCAACCTTCTTCCAAGAACCCATGGCAGCTTGCATGGGAATCATTCCCACAGTGACAGTCCTGTGAAATAGGTTATAACCTTAGTGCTTGTCAGATTCTTGACCTCTGTGCCATGCTGGCTTTTCATCCAACCATCTTCCAAAAAGTATGAAAAAAGTATGACTATATTTCATTGGAATTGCCAGGCTTGGTCTCAAAAAGACCAAAAAGCCTTTTTTGAGCATAGCTCAGATTTCAATGCCTTGTTTGTTTGTGGTCCAATGCAGTTTGTTTCATCTTTGCACAGGGGAGAGAGAAGAGCAGCTGGTATTTGTTCAGAACTTGCAATTAATACTGTTAAGTCCTTGCTCTCTTTGAAGGTGCTAATTGGGTTGTTATGGAGACTGGAGAAATCTGATTGAACCTGACAGATTAGTATTCAGAAGAAATAGTCTCGTGATTTCTGTGACAGATGTATTTGTATCCACAAACACTGAATTCATAAAAATGAGTTACCAAACATTTAGCATTTCTCTCCCCCACCCACCCCCACCCCCAATTATTGTGGGTGCATACTGCTGGAGTACTTTGGAATCTTCAAGTTGTGTTATCTGTTGTGGTTCACCGGCAGCCTGTGCAGACGGCAGAAGAATCGGACAATGGGGAAGAACAGGGACGAGTCAGGGGAGGACTCAGATGAGGGTCCTGTGTCCAATACAGAGATGGGGCCAGGACCATCTGGGAGTTATGTGCTGACTCCAGAGCCTCCAGAATCTGGCAGCAGCGAGGCAGAGGAGCAAAGGGAGCCTGTTCTAGTGTGCGTATGCGCAGAGCTGCCAGAAGGCAAGAGCTTCTAAGACAAAAGGGGCGACTTGGGAGTAAGGCTTGGAGGTGATTGCCCCTCCCATAAGGTATAAAGGAAATGCAAAGGTAGGAAAACCTTTGCAGGAAGTAACGTAGTTCGCTCTGATCAGTCTGGACTCTGAAAGCTCTGTGGTGAATTTGTTTTCCATGTGGTTTTGGAAAGACTAATTGGGACGTTAGTTGTTGGCAGCACTTCAAGTAAGATAAGCTGTATTCTTATCAGACATCTCTCGAAGAACTTTGGCAGATGTCCTGGGACTAATTATAACTGGTTGAGACTCACTCTGGGCTGTGAATGACGATAATTCACAGCCATTGAACTAAAATAAAAGGGTTTTGGATTTTATATATGTTTGTTGGTTTCTCAGGAAGCCTTGGTCAGAACAGTTACCTATGTTAAACTTAACTAATAGCATCTTTGCAGGGAAAGACTCAGACAGGGGTGCCCACATGTAGGGGATCGTTCTCTTCGCTGATGATGTAAAGCTATTCAACACCACAGACAATACTGCTACCCTTCAAAAAGACCTTGACTATGTATCAGAATGGTCAAACAAATGGCAACTTCAAATCTCAACAAATAAATGCTCTGTCCTACATATTGGCAAAAAAAAAATCAGAAAATAAAATACAGGCTGAATAGTCAAGACCTTGTTGATGATCCAAACTCTGTCAAGGATATTGGAGTACTCATCTCAAATGACCTAAGTGCTAGAGCCCACTGTAACTACATAGCCAAAAAGGCGTTAAGGGTTGTTAACCTAATCTTATGTAGCTTTTTCTCTGGTAATATTACGCTAATAACTAGAGCATACAAAATATTTGCTAGACCAATACTCAAATACAGCTCATCAGTCTGGAACCCACATTAGGTATCTGATATTAATACAGTTGAGAAAGTCCAGAAATATTTCACAAGAAGAGTTCTCCACTCCTCTACTCGTTGCAGAATACCTTATGCCACCAGACTTGAAATTCTAGACCTAGAAAACCTAGAACTACGCCACCTTCGGTCCTATCTAAGTATAGTATATAAAATCATACATTGCAATGTCCTACCTGTCAATGAATACTTTAGCTTCAACCATAACAGCACAAGAGCAAACAATAGATACAAACTCAAGGTTAATCGCACCAAACTTGATTTCAGGAAATACGACTTCAGGAACAGAATGGTCAATGTCTGGAATATTCTACCTGACTCTGTGGTTTCTTCCCCAAACCCCAAAACCTTTAACCTTAGACTGTCTATTATTGACCTCACCCCTTTCCTAAGAGGTCTGTAGGGGGCGTGCATAAGTGCACCAACATGCCTACCATCCCTGTCCTATTGTTTCTTTTATATTTTTTTTATTTTTCTTATATGTATCCATGTATTCATAATTATGTTTTTACTTATACCTATTATCTTGTAAGCAATTGACAAATAAAAATAAATAAATAAATAAAAAGATCGAGATGGCAGGTGCCAAAGGTCAAAACCATGCAGGCGAATCCCCACACATTTTTATTGCCTATGTTCAGCAGTAGCATTTGTATGCACACTTAAAATATTTTGCAAGCTTTCATTTAAACATATAGCAAACAAATATTTACTTTATGAGGCCTAAGTATGTTTCCTATTCTGGAAACTCTGCTCAGTATAGCAGACTTTCAAATTAGGAAAAAATATTTCAAACGGGATGAATGAAATGATAAAAAAAATTGGCCTCTAGAGCAGGGGTGTCCAACTGGCAGTCGCGAGCTGGATGCATCATGCACAGGTCATGCCCACCCAAGCTCCGCAAAGCCAAAAAAAAACCTCAACGATACATCACATGACATCACGTAACACAATCGAGTTTGACACTCTGTGCTCTGTAGTCTTGAGATGGCACCTATTGTGGTCTGCATTTTTAAAATCAATTTTTAAATTTTGATATGATAGAAAGGGTATAACACATACACACATTATAGTACTCTTCATTACTACCAATCACTGGTACTGTTACTGTTTCCAGGAACTCCTTTTTCATATTTTTGATTTGTCTTCGTCTTTATGTATACAGTGGATAATAAAAATGTACAATAATGTGGTTGCATAAGTGTACACACAGTAGGGATGTGGCTGTGTTAGAGTTAACCAATCACATTCAAACTTGTTAAATATTAGTTAGTACATACCGGCCATCAATCAAAGTGATTGTGAACAAGTCCATATAAAGTTCAGCTGTTCTAGTAGGATTTTTCTGACATTTACTCAGTTGCCTGTCACCCATGGTCTGCAAAGAGCTTAGGAAGCATTAAAGGGATCTCATTCTCGGAAGGTATCAACCAGGATAGAAGTACAAAACAATTTCCCAGGCATTGTAAATACTATGGAACACAGATTGAAGACAGTCATCAAGTGGAGTCATCAAATATGGCATAATAGGGACCAAAAACTGGATGTCCCTCCAAAATTGATGAAAAACAAGAAAAAACTGATTGCAAGAAGCTGCCAAGAGGCCCAAAGCAACATTAAAGGAGTTTCAGGAAGTTCTGGCAAGTATTGGTTGTGTACTATACGTGACAGCAATCTTCCATATTCTTCATGTGACTGGATTGTGGCCTTTTCATATTAAGGAAAACATCCAAGCTTGGCTAAATTTTGTAAACATCAAGTCTGATAAAACCATGTGGGAAAATGTGTTGTTCTCTGATTGACACCACAGTTGAACTTCTTGGCTATCATTCCAAAAAGCATGCTTGGTGCACAAACAACAGTGCACATCACCAAAAGTACACCATACCCACAGTGTGAAGCATGGTGATGGCAGCATTATGCTTTGAGGAATTGGGGCTTTAGCCAAGGTAGAGGGAATTATGAACAGTTCTAAATATCAGTTTTGGCACAAAGTCTTCAGGCCTCTGTTTAAATGCTGAATATGAAGAGAAATTTCATCTTTCAACACAACAGTGACTTCCAAATCAACAAAACAATGGCTTCACCAGAAGAAAATCAGAGTTTTGAATGGCCTACTAAAAGCCTGGACCTGAATCCAATTGAAAAATCTGAGGAGGGTTGTGTAGAAGAGATGCTCTTACAGATTTGGAGCACTTTCACAAGGAAAAGTAGGCAAGATTCCCAAGGCAAGTTGTGCTGTGCTGATAAGCTCCTACTCCAAAAGACTGAATACTCTCGCAAATTCAAAAGGTGCTTTAACAGAGTATTAGTTTAAGAGTGGGCACTTATGCAACCATGTTACTGTAAAGTTTTTTATTTTTATTTTTTTCTCCTAAAAGTTTTCAGTTTGCTTTCAATTATATGTACAGTTTATAACTTACATTAATGGTGGAAAAAATCTGAATTGATTTATCTTGATCTGATTTTTTTACATCTCAAAAACCTGGCATTTTAATAGGGGTGTGTAGACTTTCTATATTCACTGAACCTAGACCACAAGCTATGTTTTTCCAAACCACTGTTATAACATGCAATATGCGAGCATTTTAAAAAGCAACTTTAAAGTCCTACTGTAAAAGAAAATAGTCAAACTGCATATCATGAAAAATTTGGTGAAAACAAAATATTTATTCTACTACCAATGGAAGAATGATACGACTCTAAAAGGTATTGGTTCTTTTCATGTAAAAACAATGACATTGTCTTCCGTTATGTCACAATTTTAAAGAAAACTCCATGAGCTGGAATAATTTAGTCTTCCAATTGTTTTTGTATATATATATATCTTTCTAAAAATACACATTTGTTAGAAAAGTAACAATAATGCGCATTATGCATTTTTCATATAAGATAATGCTCAACTCTTAAATCTCATATGGTGTTAGATTAGCTGTTGTATTTCACAGTGTTTGCAGATGTTGCTATTGTGGGAAAGTGATGGCTTTCTGATTGCACCCCCAGTTAAATATCTTTCATGGAAAGGAGTCATTGCCAAGGAAAGCAATCCAAGCAGTTTCCTCTCTCCTGTGTTGAATAAGATGAAAACAAATCCTGCAGAACAGTGGTCTGTATCCCCTCCCTTCCTTCCCATTGGAAGTTGTTTATTAAACTAGAGTTTTTCTGGGAGTTGTTCTTTTCCGTTCTGAATGCTTTGACGAAAAATCAATTTTAGCTTTGAAGAGCTCCGAAGGAATATAATTTGTATTGGATAGGCTGATGAACAATTAGTGCTTGTTATATGATGAGTCCATAAACCTTGAATTTGAATATCGGTAGGTTTCTCTGCCTTGTTGAAATCAGCAGCCTAGAAACAACCTCGACAGAAAACAACATTCTTGACAGCCAGATCTAGGATTTGAAACTTTTAATTTTCAAATAAAAGTTGTCTCATTAAGTTCTGACATTTGAATATCTGAAGAGGACCTGTATGGATATCTGTTGCTTGGCATTCAGAGGATATTCCTGTGCAATCAGAAATGAAAAACAGATGAGAATGCTATGAAAAGATACATGGTAAAGAGAGAGACTGTAAACTTGAATGCAACTGCAGTCAAAGATTCTAATTAAAAATACTTCTGGATCAAGTGTATGTCTAGTTTCTTCTGATTTGAAGGACCGGCTGTTAGAGAAATAGTGAATGTCTTTTATCCATCAAGAAATTGGATGTGTTTTGAAATTTGCTCAGCAAAATATACAGTAAGTCTTCAAGAAACTCACTGCCGTTCTTAATGAAATAAATGTGAAATTAACCTTATTCTTGTAATGTTGCGATGTTTGGTAATTTTAAAAAGACTCACTTTCAAGTAGCATTGGAGTACCGACTGTAATCAAAGTTTCAAGAGAAATACTGTATAGTTTTTCATTCTAGGAAACGTTAAAAATTAATGTGACAACAACACCATGTCGCAGCATGGATATTCAAGAGATGGACAAGAAAATCATCACCAGATACTTCGCAGAGTCAGTCATTTCCGCCAAAGGGTTACCTCAGCTGTTCAGCGATCTCTTACAAAAAGGCATGGAAGAAATTACGCTTCCAACACCTGGTCGGGTGAGAACTGGCCCAAATTTTTTTTAGCATATAACTGCTAACTACTATCCATAAAAGTGTAATGCTGGTTTTGTTTCTTATGACATTTACCTCTATTTTTCTTCCCCTTCAATTTCCTCTGTATTTCTTTAAATTACTGCACCATTATTAAATATGTTCTTAACTTTTGGAAAAGGTATCTGCATCAATTATTTATATTAGTACCCTACTGGGTCATTAAGCAACATGGGTTTTCCTCTACCTAAGCTAATAGATAAGCACAGCACCATTCTCTTCACAACACAGCGATGTTGTCTCTTATAGTCAATCCTTAGAAAAGCCTGCATGCCTTAGTACAAATAGTTTTCATTTGAAGTCTTTCTTTTAATTAATATATTACACTACACCATTTTGAATGTTTTTATTTTCTGTGGTGGTACTAATATGCCTGTCTTATGCTGACCAAAGATAATTTAAAAATGGATTTAACATCAATTAAGTTGACATCCTCAGATTTTCTGTATTAACTTTTAGTAAGTGTATCTTTAGATACACAATAACTAACTTTTAGTATTTCATTGTTTTAAAGGTTTATATTAATAAAACTACCAGAATCAAGCTTTGGCTGAATCCAAGGATATGAATCAATCATTTAGTTCTGGTTGTAGAGTTTGCAGAAAAGAAGCTTTAGAGTTTGAAATTATTTATCTATTTACTAAAATTATATGCGTCCCATCTTGCTGGCTGAGGTAACTCTGGTCCAAAAATGATCCAGTTATCTGTTAGTGGATTTCTTTTCTTCATAATGTTTGGTTTTTGTTTATTTGTTGTTTGCATACATACACAAACACGCAGCTGTAATAAACCTTGTCAGAGTTCTAACCTGGTTTTTCATCCATTTGGCTCTCAATAAAATCGCTGCAATTAAAGTCAGGCCCCAATTACTTGATGTTACTACTTCATATATTGATTAGTAAATTAGAAGGCTATAGGGGACTGTATAAGACATGAAGTAGATATTCTTTTTTTAAAAGAGATAAAAATAGGAAAAAAATACAAAATGTAAAAAGAACAAAGAGAAATGAAAAGCAATAGAAAAAATCCCAAAGATGCTTTCTTTCAAAAGGCAACTGAACTTTGGTATTTTGCTAGAATCCATTTCACTTCTTATCCAAGAAGCTTTTTCAGTTCTGACTGAATAGTGGAGAATGGAAGGATTTATATTCCTTGCAGTCATGTGGTTGTCAGCCCTCTTTGAAAGAAAACATCTTTGGGTTACACATTTATCTAGTTTGTTAATTTGCTTATAGTTTTTTTTTACTTAAATTCTTATTTGCCTTTTTTCATTTATTTTATACTCTTTTAAGTTCTTTTAGCTTTTAGTCAGTTTTGCCTCTATTTTGGGATGAAGTTTTACTCACCAAGTAGTTTTTAACTTCAAAATTATTATAAATGTCAAAGTGACATTGGACGAATCCAGTATCCTTAGAAGCTCCACTGAGTTGAGATCTCAATGGCTTCCTTTGTCTCCCGACACACAGTAACATGGGTTGACTGAAATCTTGCAGTCTCCTTGCAAGGAGCATCTCTCTGGACCACAAGTGGGTGATCACTCTTTATCCAGAGATGTTCCATTAGATTGTGCTTGCTGCCAGTCAGTTTTGGCAGCAGCAGCATCTCTACACCTTTGGAGAGGTCTCATTTGCTATTCCTTGCCTAGAAGTCCCCTCTAATGCACTTTCTTCCCTTCTTAATAACATGTTTAACCTTACAGTACACTTGTAAGCCTATTAATATTTGTGTTTAAAATGACATACCTCTTGACTAGGGAATAAGTAAAATGTAGAAGTGAAGTATGGATTACTAACATAGTGATACAATAAATATTTGTTGTTTAAACAGAATAATAAAATACATAGCCATATTTACTTTGGATTATTGCTCAAAGCATATTTGTTTATCCAAGGTGAGGCTATATGAAGCCAAATCAAATATTATAGCGAAAGATCTTACATAGTTATATTCATACTAGCTCAGTACCCGTGCTTCGCTACAAAACTATGTGGTTGGACTTAATTTTTGGGGAGGAAAATAAGGGGGAAAAATTCTGCCTTTGCCTACCAGCATCCATTGGTATTCATCTGGCAAGCATCCTGTCAGTGTGTGAGAGAGTTGAGGGCTGTTTGGAAACCAAAACAATATTTGCTGTGTGAGCAAGAAGGAGACAACAAGGAACCTGGGCATGGCTTAGATCAACTGTTTTGTACTAAAGCTGGTTGGTTGCTGTGAAACTGAAACTCCTCTGCTTGTGTTTTGCATTTGGAACAGATTTCTTTTCAGGTGGGTAGGGGGAGTAGAACTTCTTAGCATCAGAGCGTGTTAATAGTAATATAGGAAATACTAATGCTCTGATGGTCATTTCGAAAAATCCTTTCTTAGTGAGCACCCAAGAGGAGCGTATGTGCCAAATTTCAAGTTTGTAGGCTTTACGGTTCTGGAGATTTTGTGATGATGCATGAGTGGTGTTTCGCTTTTATATATATAGATTTAGAGAAAGCTGGCCTTTGCAGCCTTCATCTTTGAATTGCAAATATGTCAAAAATGTTTTTTTAAGAGGTTTTCTGTTGATACTAAATTTGGAGGTAAAACTTTGATTTTCTTAATACTTTAATATCAATATTTGATAAGCATTCAGAACCTGGGTTCCAAGGCTATGGTTCAAATTATGAACAAATAAATGGATCCCAACTGCTATGCCTTTTTCTGAGATCCTTGTAAATTTTTATATGAAAGAACTGTGCTTTACATTCAGTTTCCCCAGAATTTTCATCCCAGTGTGGTTTTTAAAGGGTGTAAGAATCAATTGTTGCACTATAGGCACTCTTCTTGCAAGTCTGTTCTCCTCGTTCCTGCTAGCCTCAAGCCTTTTTCATTCCCCTGAAACCTCTGGTATAGAATTTGAGGAACCAAGAAAAAATAGCCCGCCTTCCTCTTTCTACTGATTGTACTGGTTTCCTCAGTGGAAAAAGTCTCTGGATTATTCCTTCTTGCTTGCTGATGAATCTCAGGATTCCAATGAAAGCAAAGTAAACTCTGTTAGAACTGCATGCCTAACTATTCAATGTCATGCCCCCACCCCCCACCCCCCTTAGGCTAAAATGTCTGGCCTAAATTTAGCAGAGTCAAAATCCTCCTTTACTGCATTGGCAAAATCTGGACTAAAAATAATATATGAAGCCTTTCTTAAAAGCCAAGAAGAAAGTATTCATGTTAGCTAAATAAGACACAAAAAGTCATAAGAAAAGGCTGGTTCTGCTGTTACTAGTTCATCATAATTAAAAGGATTAAAAAGAAAATACAAAATAAAACTGACAGAAAACCAGAGTTTTGCAGTGGAGAAAAAGTTGGGAGTAAAACCGAAGAGATCAAAGATCAGCTACTGCAAAAACAGTGAAAGCTCACTAAGCAACTTTGGCTAGGCTTTCACAGACAGACAAGCAGACAGACAAGCAGACAAACACACACAGAGAGAGCTGAAACTTTCTCAAAGGTTTGCTGTTGTGAAGAAAAAATGGGAGTATTCCATATGCCATTTGGAACTGAAAGAAAGATAGTATATAAATGTAACAAGTAAATAACAGAGGATCAATTAGATAGTAAAGCATGAACAATACTCCAAGGCATGCCCATGAGCTTTGGATTTGCAAAATTTATTAGCTACCAGGACTAATATATCCTCTCAGAAGTATTTCTCACCAGGAAATACGTTTCTTACCTTTCCCAACACCTTTATTCCTATTTACAAGTTATGTTCTGGAATGTGAAATCAGGTGCTTTTAGAACATAGCAAGTAGTGCCTCCTAGAACATATTCCTGGCCCATCTAGTCCACCAATTCACCCAGTGCTCAGCCAACTACACAAGGAAGTTCTGGTGAAGGGAAAATATAGTTTAAAAGGAAACAGAATAAAAGCTCAGGGTATCTATATATTGTCACATGCACTTTTATGTTTTATCATGATGTGTGCATGTGGCTGGGGAGAATGTTAGATGTTCATGCTGCATCTCAGAAATGGCTGCTTTGTATTTCCAATATTAATCTATTAAAATATACATGTACAGATTTACAATATATGTAAAGTGTTGTCATATTATAGTCTATTACTACTGAGATAATCAATAAAATACATTCAAATTTTATGAAATTGTGATTCCTGCTTCTGATGCCTTATTATTTTAGCTTTGTAATTTTTGTCTAATACATCAATTGAAGTCATTTTATTAATGCACATTTCAGTTGTTATCTAGAGTTTTTCAATATTGGACAATTATTTATCTGCTAAAATTAGATAAGTTCCTTATTTTTAAGCTTGAGTAAATAAATGCAGTTAGCCTAACTTTGAGGAGAATTCAATTCTTTGTTTAGTGAAGTACTTATCTCCCCTCAACATTTATCCCAACATTTATTGGATGACCACCACAACTGAACCCCCTCCTTATTTTTTCTTTACATTTCCAACATTTGGAAGAATAATTTTGATATATGTATATGCCAATCTATTTGGAGTGAAGTGCAGCCAAGTATAATCTTTCACTGCAGTTCTTGCATTGAAGCAGAATCCTTCCAGTTTCTATAATTTCTGCAAAAAAAATTTCCAGCATAGATTTACCAAGATCAGTATCCAAGCTTCCTTTAAACCACAGGGTGGATCTCCTGTGTTATTTGCAGTATTATCCTATACATTTTTTGAGATTATCACTTTTGGTTGTTCTAAGTAATTAAGTGTTACATTCTGAAAAACCATATTGCTAAAGCTATTGCTATTGCTCAAAATGAATTTGATTTGATACCAAAAGAATGCTAGTAACTTAACACCTATTTGTTTATCTGTCTGATCTTTATTGAGATGTTCTTTATTTCAATAAAAATATTTTAGTTTATAAAGATTGTGCTCTCTCAAAACTAAAAAGAAAGAAAGAAAACTAAGATATATGCTTATCTTTGTAGTTAATTTTAGATCA